AGGAGGGAGGGAGGGAGGGAGGGAGGGAGGGAGGGAGGGAGGGAGGGGAAAGAAAGAAAGAAAGAAAGAAAGAAAGAAAGAAAGAAAGAAGAAAACAACTCTTTATGGGAACAAGGAGAGAGGAGGAATCTATTCAGGGTATCTGAAAACTTGAGTGACCATCATTTAACTGCAGGCCTGCCAGCCATGCAGGACTCTCCAGATTTGGGGGGGGGGGGTGTTGCTGCTCAAAGGAGTAGGTCTTCTGAAAATCCTCACATTTCCACCTCAAAACCTCCAGCCTCCAAAACAACATGCTCCTCCAAAAGTAAGGTCAGCAAACGCCCCAAATATGAGAAGTTCCAATTAAATAAACTAGTGGCTTGGGTTGTTGCATTTCCTTGTTCTATCCATTTGCGATAACACTGACTACTGAAATGTAGGCAATGGTCTACAGGACTACTAGGGAGGGGTCATTGCCTTGCAGCTAAGCAGGAGGGACAGCTCTTCTAGGCAGAGGACATCCATACCAGAGGAAAGCCCTAGCTAGGGACCCTTGGCCTTCCTAAAGGCACTAAACATACAGCACCCTACTCCCAGCTTTCCAGGTGACCAGCGCACAAGCCACAAAACCACATGAGGCTTGGGAAAGTTGCTGGCTACCTCGTTAGTTAAGGCGGTGAGAATAGTCACTCCAGCCACAAAACTATTATTCTCGAGGGGGTATTCAGGTGGAGGAGATGTGGCAAGGCCTCAGTCACTACCCTACTATGATCCATGAACCAAACCGCCCGGAGCCAGAGCCTATGCGGAAGTCCAGAGATTAAGTCACTCCCCGGGATCACCTTGCTAGATTATCCCTTCTGTGCTCAAGAAACGCCCTGTGTCTCTTACGAACATAAGGTATTTAAGCGCTGCAAGGTCTATCAATGGCTTCCCAGGGTGTCCCGAAGAGGCAGAAGCAGACTCTACCCAGGGGCAGGCATTTGAAACGGACAACTCTCATCATCAGACTCACCTGGGTACCAAATAAGATGCAGCCTAGACAAGCGTCCCTAACCCCCGCTCTCAAGAGGGCCTGGAATCTTACAATCCCAAAGGTGCAGCCTCCCTCTATCTCAGCACATAGGGAGGGCGGCACCGATTACCTACTCGTAAAACAGACCGTATAGCACATTATTGGCACTAAAAAGAAGGGGGACTCTATCCTCTTCTACCTGCTCTGAGTTTCCTGGCGCTCCGAAGAGAAAGGTTCTCTTTCCATTACAGAAGATGCGGTCCCCAGCGCCCCCAAACGTTTTCTAAACGCCAACTGAGACTGAAAGGAGGAGCGAGCCAACAAGGAAAAACATCTTGGACTCAACCCGCCCACGACGCCCAGCCACGATGTTCACCAGATCGGCTGCAAGTGGGAAACCACGGTGAAACATTCTGCACCAAGATTTCTCAATCCGATATTTGTTCGCCGAACACCCCCGCCCCAACTCAGCACTCTTGGTCCATCAGGTTCTGAACCAAGCTCTCTGCTCCTCCCCCATGACCACACCCACCCGGGCAGCGGCTTTCCCTAGCAGAACTGGGAACCCTACACAAACCCCACCCACCTCCTGGGCTCACACACCATTAATTTCGACTCCGAATGCCGGGAGATGACACAGTCTTCACTCAACCCCATCACCTGCCACGTGGTTTGAGGGACCACAGCAAAGGGCTGGGAAACCACCCCACCCCCGGGCTTCTACGGGGAAAGTTCTGAGCCTCCCCCTTTTCCCGGCCTACAGCTCGGGCTCGTTCCATTACAAATAACACGGGCAGAAAGGCCTTGAGCTCTAGTCTCCACGGCTTTAGTGTCTAGACCTTCTTGGTCTGCCACTTAACTGTTAGCAACAAAAAAAGAACAGCCCCTAGTAACAAAGTAACGGAATGGAGTGATAGCTTTTTGCTGTGAACTTGCCTCAAAGCTGTAAAAAGAGTTAACTGTTACGAAAGAGTTTCCGTCAGCTCAAAGAATTAAAAAAAAAAAAACCCTAAATATTTGTTAACACCAAAAATGGAGGGGACAGTCGGACTTCCACAGACGAATCAACTATCAAGAGTCGCGCTGCGAAACGATGCCAGGAAACCACAGAAGCGAGTGACCCCACGCCACCCTAGGTTTCAGGGTCAGGCCGGCCGCCCTGTACAGGTGCCACCTGCCTACACCCAGCCCACGAGCAGGTGAGAGTAGGATCAGAAAGGGCAGTGAACCGAGCGCGCCTTCCTTCAAGAAAGCGCAGCCCAGCAGCGCAGCCCCCGGCGGCCGGGCGCGCCCCCGCCGGCCGGATGGGCTGGGGCTCCCACAAAGAGCCGCGGGGTGGGGAGCGAGGACTGGGACCGCCCCCCGCGTCGGCCAGCGCCGCCGCTGGGTCGGGTTGCGACAAATTAAACCTTAGAGCCCTGGAAAAATTACAGGAAGAAGAGAGCGAAGAATGTGCCGAGTGGCTGAAGGGAGCCCTGTCCCCGCGTGAACTTCGCCCGCCCCGGCCGGCCCCTCCCGCGCCAGAGCCCGCCCCGAGGCCTGGGGAGGGGGTGGCGAGGCTCCAGCTCCCGGAGCACCTACGCCCCAAAAGGGAGCGCCGCTCGCCACCCCCCCACCACCTCCAGCGCACCTGCCCGCGCGGCCCGCAACCCGGATGACGACATCTACCCCCGCGGCCCCGCCCCAAGAGCCCGAGAGGGGGCGTGCCCGATGGGGGCGCGGTCGCCGAGAGGGCGCCGGCTCCAAGCGCCACGGCCGGCGTCACGCGAGGCCGGAGCGCCAGGACAGGGGCGCGGCTGCGATCGCCCTCAGCTCATGGCTCCCCGCCCCCGACCCTGGCCCCCTCTTGAGCTGGGCCCGGAGCTCTGGGGGCGTGGCCGGTCCCAAGCAGTCCCTAGTCCGCGCGTTCGCGGCGTCCCGGCCGCCCCACTGACCTGTGTGAGTTCTCAGGTGCGCCTTGAGGTGCGAAGATTTCCCGTAAACTTTCTCGCAGCCCGCGTAGTGGCACTTGTGCTTCCTCTGCGGGGACTCGAGGTCCGAACGGCTCCGGCCCCGCCGACCCCTTTGTCTGAGGCCAGGCTCGCCGCCTCCCGCGGGGCCCGGCTCTGGCTCCAATGCTGCCTCGGGCTCGCTCCACGCGGGGCTGGGGGGCGCGGCCGGCGCGCCTGCTTGTCCCGGGGAGGCGGGCTCTGGGCCGGGCGGCGGCGCAGGGGGCGCGGGCGGCAGGCGGCAGGGGGTCCTCGCCTTGCGCGCAGCGGCCCCTTCTCTGCGTTCCGCGGGGGCGGGCGCCGGCGCCTGCTGGTTGAGGTCCGCTAGGATCCGAGCCACCACGAAAAGCGAGGCGCTGTCCTTGCCGTCGCGGCGCTCGTCAACGCGGGGCAGTGTGGGGGCGGCGGCGGCCGCGCCCTCGGGCCGGGGATCAGGTCCTTCCCGCGGCTCGTGCACGACTGCGCGGCTGGACATAGACACGAGGCACTCGGCGGCAAAGTGGTCCACATAGGCGGCGGCTGCCATGCTGCGGGCTCGGACGCGCGGTGCTCTCGCAGGAGTCGTCAGCGGCGCATCCGCACCCACGGCCTCCGGAGAGCGGCGGGGGGCGGGGGCGCGGCGCGCCCTCTTCTCCGGCTGGGCTGGGCTAGGCTGGGCGCGTAGCCGCTACTGCCGTCACCCGCGCGGCTCCGCGTCTGCCTGGCCGGGCACTGGAGGGTGAGCGCATGGGGGGCTCCAGTGAGGAGGGTCCGCGTGCGGCGTCAGGGCTGGCCTGTCTTAGAGACGTCGAGCGGCGGCGACGTTAGGCACGACCCCTGCAAGTTGCGGTCGCAGTTCCACAGTGCATTGTGGCAGGCGGGACAGCCTCCGTGCGCGCCGCGGCTCGGTGTGGGCGGACCGGCCCCGGGGGTGGGCGGGGCCGGGGCCACATCTGGACCCGACGTCAGCCCCCAGCCACATCCTGGCGGCGCAGGTTACAGGCGGCAGCGGCCGCAGGGAGCAGCGTGCACGAAGGGGGCGGGGAGCCTGGAGCGCGCACCGTCTCTCCGGTGCGGCCGCGCGCCCGCGCCTTGGGAGGGGCGTGGCTATTGGCAGACGCGAACTCCATTGGCTCTTGAGTACTTTATCCAGCCAATCCGGACCTCTAGAGGGCTCTACCGGCCGCGGGACTTGCGCGCGCCAGTGGGCGTGCCCCCTGGGCCTGCAAGAGGAGGGCAGAAATCGGAGCCGGGCGCGGGGCGCGCAGACGCATGACGTCCGAGGGTGGCGGGCCGCTGTATAGCGGCGCAGGGCTGGGGCTCGTGCCTCCTGCAGCGGGAACCCCGCCGGGCCTTTCCGTGCTAGAGCTTTTGTGAGCAGGCAGCAGTAGGTGACACGAGGATGGCAGAGCTGGGGACGGCACCCTGTGGTCTCTCCGCCCGCTGGGAGTGCGGGCAAGGTGGCGTATTCGTCCCGATGGGACCTGAGCGGCCGACCTCGCCTATGGGCGGGACGTTACCGAGCCTCACCCCACCGCAGCGGAGTTCTCGGGTGGCCGGGCTTGCATTGCAGTCTCCAGCCACCTTCTCACCCTGCTCCTGCTCCTGCTGAGCTCCAGTCCTGGACGCAACCTTGGCTGGAGCCGTGTCACCACTAGGGCCGCCCCGCCCCCGCGCGGCCGCACTGCCCTTGAGCCTATGTTAACCTGGCTGATGCAGGGCCCACCACTGCCAGTGCTGAGAGAGTGAGAGCTACGTGCTGGGGCTGCAGTCGCGGCTGTTCAGGGAACGCGGGGCCCCTTCCTCCCCCTTCCTGCCCCAGGCCTACTGCCAACTTCTCCAGGCCGCCCCTCTCCCACCGCGGTCGGGGAGGCTTCAAACACCACCAGCTGCGAGGACCCCGCCCAGGGCGCCCCACCCATCCACTGTCTGGGCCTCTGAAGGAAATGCTCCACTGCGCCCTGCCGGGGCCTTCCAACTAGGCCACCTTGCTCTAAAGTCTAGACACACGTTTATGTTCTTTCTCTCTGAACACTAGGCCACCATCAGAGAGACCATAGCTTCCTCCTGCATTTGAACCAATATTAACACACTCAGGACTCTGGCCTCAACTGGCCTCTGACCTGTGAGGATAAGATCAACAGCCTCTGCTTTTCATTGTGGATGATGCCTTTAAATATGCCAGCCACTAGCGGTCGACCCCAGTGGGCTAAAGCAGGGTCAGTCACCTCACTAGGAAAAATTAAGAAGCAAGGTTCTGATTTCAAGTTTTCCCCAAATTGAATGGGAGCCTAAAATAGAAGAGACTTTGATTTCTGATAATTGGGGAAACTGAGCAATTTGGAATTTTCAGTTGTGAAACTTAGGTTAATGTTTGAACATCCCTGAGTATAAGCACACACCCTTAATTCTCTCACTGTTGGGCTGCTGTCTTGTGGCGAAGCTGGATTAAGGCTTTATAGGAGGGTCTCGACTTGGCAGAAAGTAGTCATCTTTGTTCCAGGCAGATTGTGTTGGTGACATTTAAGAGACTGTGTCCTGACCAAGTGATGACTCAGAATGCTCCTCCGTTCCCACCACATGCCACAGACGGTCATTTCATTGGGAAAGAGCTGGCCCCTACACTGCTTTTCTGACCATGCATTCCTTCCTGTCCCTCTGCAGCTTGGAGGATTCTACAGTCTTTTTGGTGGTGTCCTCGTGGGTTCTGCTTCACTAGGACAAGGTGGACCTTCCTGGAACATGCATAGGCACTTCTACATTATAGGCTTCTATGATACCCTGAGTCAATGGACCCTTCTGACATGCCCCATCCAAGCTTTCTTCGTGATGGTCTCCCAAAGAGTTTTCCCCTTTGAACGTTGTATACAAGAGGCATTACCTTGAATGATTTCTCACCAGTTCACAAACTTGGCCTTTCTTGTCCCAAGCCCAGATGGAAATATCCTAGTGGTACTGCTCTTCTCTCCAGTGAGTATCTCATAGCTCTAGGTCCATGTTTCTGTGCTAGTAGGATTTTGACAACAATAGTATAGGTAAGTGAGAGTAGGGATATTTCCTTTTAGCTGGAAAGAAGAGGAAAATCTAGAACAAAACAGACCATCAAGGTGGACCAAATGGGAGCAAGTGAGCCATAAGGGGACTAGTAATGGGTGAGGTTTTGTGGTGAAGGTGGTAGTTGTTCCATTTGGAGCCTCTGAAACAACCTCAGCTATGAGATAAAAATCTCAACTATAAGACAAGAATGCACATGGACAAGAGCAGGAGAAGCAGCAGCCAGTAAAGCTGAAATGTGACCCATAGACCCAAGAAAACGAAAGCCTGAAATAGGGAGGAAAGTTTCCCCACAAGGTTCACAAATGGTGCCGGGCGGTGGTGGCACACTCCTTTAATTCCAGCACTTGGGAGGCAGAGGCAGGCGGATTTCTGAGTTCGAGACCAGCCTGGTCTACAGAGTGAGTTCCAGGACAGCCAGGATTACACAGAGAAACCCTGTCTCGAAAAACAAAACAAAAAAACAAACAAACAAGAAAAAGGTTCACAAATGGTGACACTGGGCACCTCTGGATGTGTAAGGGAGGGGGACTTGAAATAAGAATGATCGTAAATGATTGTACTAGAGTCTGTTCTGAGATGTTCAGGTCGGCTGCCAGCTTTGTGTAGCCTCACAGCTGCCTCTTCCTCTTCCTGAGAAGAGACTGTATCTAGCTAAAGGAGATAGAGACAAGTCTCGAGACAGTGGTGCTCATGTGCCCACTGACATCTACAAGCCCCTTTCAGGGATTCCATGGCACAGGGAGCCAGGAGCCTAGAAGAGGCTTTTGAGCTGAGCAAGCCAGGCCACAGGGATCGATCAACACACTCTGACATCCATAGCTGCTCAAGTGTCCAATTAGCATACTACACAGAAGGCCACAGTGAAAGGTGCCACTTGACACAGAACTTCTGATCCATCTCAGCCCTTCCCAGGCAAGTAAGAGTGGGCAGCTGAGCTGACACACGTCAGGAAGCCCTGCATCAGGAAATATGAAGCCACAATAGGTTGGCTTTTGTTTTTTGTTAAGTAAGTTGTAGGAAACAAGGCGTTTAGAGAGAAGTAAACATCAACAAAAGGACCAATAATATCAACAGGGAAATGTAAAAGAACACAATCTTCAGAGGGAAAGTATGTGTGAAGAAATATTTAGGAGTAAAAGAAAGAGTTCTTGAAGCATTAAAGCAAAAAAAGTAGCAAGCATATAAATGACAAAGTCTTCAGTGGAAAGACTGAGAGAGAACATTAACCAGAAAGAATCCACAAAAGCATAAAATGGAAAGAGAGAAGAAAATGAAAGAATCAACCAGAAAATGTTTTGGTCGGTTAATAGGAACCCTGACATGGTGGCTAGACAAAACCCAGCTAAACCCAGACATAAGCATCCATCAGTAGGGATGGATACATTCTAGGAATGTCTCCTTGGGCAGTTATCTTACTGTGGGCACTGCTGAGTGGCCATGCAAGACTGAGTTGTGTGTTGGTAACCCCAAGGGGAATGGTATGTTTTTGCAGTGAAGAGACACAGAAAGCTTGAATTAATACTCTTCACCATAGTCTGGTTAACTGTAGCCCAAAGGCAATGTGTTACCATGTGTGCTATTGAGTTATGATGAGGCCCTTGAGGAGATAGAGATCCTAAACCTTCTTTTTCATTCATCCTTGCTCACTGCTGCCATTGGTCTGTGACTGAAATCTCTCAAACTGTGAGCCAAAGTAACTATGTCCTGTTTTGAAAAACTAACACACTACCTTACGATGATCTGTAAGTTGGAATCTACACTAAATTGTAAGAGTAGCAGGTATCAGATGTGCCTTGCTATGCTTTTGGATGACTAGCAGTACAGTAGGTTTCTTTGTACCAATACCCCACACAAGTAATTCATTTCCCTGTGAACACTGTCATATTTGGCATATTGGAGGTGATAGGAATCTATTACAGATTCCCTTTAAGGGATCATGGTGGTGTTGTGTTGTCTATAACTGACAGAAACTTTGTTACACAGCCTGAAGCATTTTTAGATGCAAAAGTTCTCTTCCCTTAGTGGGGAAACGTATCATTTTCATGATAGGAGCTACCTGAGCTCATGAGTCACCAAAATGAAGAGGCTAAGAAAAGGACCATATAATCCAAGAAACAGGGTACTGCACACAGGATAAGGGAGAGGAAGTGCCAGCCAAGAGCTGCCCTGACGCTTGCTCAAGAGCCTAGAGTGACAGCATCCTCCATCAGTTAGAAAGGGCTGGCTGTGCTGCAGATCGTTGTTTCTGGCACACTGCACATCCATCATGAGGTGCCTGCAATCAGCAGGTGGATGAAGCAGCCTCTTTCCGCAGTGTGCTGGTTGCCATGGCAGAAGGAAAGGGGGAATGTTAACCTTGCAATATTACTCACCCCTTCTCCCTGCACAAAATACATCTTCTCCTCTCTGGGTGGCGTAACCTAATCTCTAGTGCCTTTTAAATCTGGATCTATAGGCAGAAAGAATGGAAGGAATTCACTGAAACACATTGTGTGGCATCCAAGTTAGAGCCCA